AAAATCATTCTTAAAAGCCCACAATGCTATTAAAATTCTTTATCAGATCCTACAGACAGAATTTGAAGTGTCTAAATCTAACACGGTGCATACCCACTTTACAAGCAATTTCAGCATATTTTGAGTTTTAAAAAGAACAAAGTGGACAGCTCCTTACTTTATGCCCTGTATCAAGCATCAACCATGCATACTCAGGGGACATCAGTCTCTGAGTCCTGGTGGGAGCTTTTCTCCTCCTGGTCTGCAGCATCCTCATCTGCTGGGGGAGTGGGAGGAGGGGGACTCAGGTGTATTCTTAGCTCCCACTCTAAAGGGAAGCCTTTTGTTTATTCATTCTTTCCCTCAATCCTAATTTTGTCTTGTTTCCCTAGCCTTTGTTATTTGGTTTTCTACTGCACAGAAATAGCTACAATTTTGACTGAGAGCCATCATAATTAGGCATCAGGACATTCCAGGAGAACAGAGTTAACAGCAACATCATGGCCTCGGCGGGTCTCCAGCTCCTTGCTTTCATCCTGGCTTTATCCGGTGTCTCTGGAGTGCTCACAGCTACTCTGCTGCCTAACTGGAAGGTGAATGTGGATGTGGGCTCCAACATCATAACAGCCATTGTGCAGCTGCATGGGCTCTGGATGGACTGCACATGGTACAGCACTGGGATGTTCAGCTGCACCCTGAAACACTCCATTCTGTCCCTCCCCATCCATGTGCAGGCTGCGAGGGCCACCATGGTTCTGGCATGTGTTCTGTCTGCTTTGGGGATCTGTACTTCCACAGTAGGAATGAAATGTACTCGCTTAGGAGGGGACAGAGAAACCAAGAGCCATGCTTCCTTTGCTGGAGGAGTCTGTTTTGTGTCTGCAGGAATCTCTGGTTTGATCCCAACAGTGTGGTACACAAAGGAGATCATAGCAAACTTTGTGGATCTGACAGTTCCAGAAAGCAACAAACACGAACCTGGAGGAGCTATCTATATAGGATTCATTTCAGCAGTGCTGCTGTTTATCTCTGGCATGATTTTTTGCACTTCCTGTATAAAAAAGAATCCAGAAGCTTGGCTCTATCCACCCAGGCAGGAGCATATCTCTACCACACAGCTAGAGAACAACTCAGAACACAACCTGAAGGATTATGTGTGAATTACTATATAATGCATACAGAATGAAGCTTTGGGGTGTCTACTAGGACTTTTAGATTTAAAAAAAATCAGAATTATGCCTAAAGAAAGTAGAGTCTAAAACTCTTTAAAAACTACAAGGTAGTTTAAAATGCCAACAAAATGATCATACATACATCTGTTTTAGATTTATTTTTCCATTATTGTTTTCATGTTTTATTTAAAGGTTTATAATTGAAAGAGGTTCTGACTACATTCATATGGAAATTAATTGATAGCTTTTTTTACCTTTTTAAAATAACTTGTTGATACATAATACAAACTGGATTTTATAAAAGAACTAAAACGCCAAGCATAAAAAGTTCCTCGCCCTGGTGTTAACAAAGAGTATCATCTACTTTTGCTATCTGATTAGCAACACCAGAGTAACCTGCTTCTGTTTTAAAGCCATAGTACATGAGTGTACAGAAGGAACAGAAGAGATGTCCACTCCACTCAGATGCTGCCAAAACCATCCACCCCAAGTCCTTGCCTACTGTGACCAGCCCATCTCTTTTTCATTTTAGGAAACTATCTACATACATTTTCAAGAGCTGACAATATTACATGCAAACTAAGCTTAGACAGAACTAAAGAAAAGAAATTGATAAATGTTACCACAGCAAAGGAAAACAAAACCAAGCATGAACTAAAATCTCTAAGACTTTTTCAAGCATTAAGTACAAGCTAAGTGATAAGAATAAAAGTAAGTTTCTTTTAAAATGCCCAAGAACTCCCCTCTTCTGCTTCTAGCATGAGGATTGTCCAGATTAAGTTCATTTATTTTACAATTTAGATTTACTCCCATCCCATTTAATCTCATTTATCAGTATTTGGATGATAAAAGTTACTTTTAAGTTGTCATTTTTTCTTCCCTCAAATTTGATCCAAGTTAACAAAAACATTGTTGTTCTTATGAATGAACTGCTTCAATTAGTTAATGGATGTAAATGTAATTTTTAAAG